CACCGCGGCTAACACTAACCTGATAACAGCGGAGGCGGGCACTCCCGGGGGCTCCGCCGCGATTGACACCTGGATCGGCCAACCGCGACGCCGCAGCTGGCTGCCGGAGCCAATGGGGCGGGCAAGGGGCGGCGGGAGCCAATAGGGGAGCGGCGGAGCCGGCCAGGGGACAGCCCGAGTCCGAGCGAAGGAGCAGTCGGTGCTGGTGGCTGATGGGGAAGGAGCGGCGGCGGCTCCGGGGTGCGCAGCGCTCCCCCCCCCCGGGCCTGGGGGAGGTGCTGTGGGGCCCGGGGGGGGGGAGGAGGCGCGGAGCGGGGCTAGGGGCCGGGGGGGGAGGGGTGCGGAGCGGGGCCCTGAGGCGCGGCGGGTGGCGGTGAGAGAAATGGCGCGCGGGCCGCCGAGGGGAGGGGGCTGTGGGGAGAAGTGGGCGCGACGGGGTGGGGAGGCGCTTGGAAGGGGCGGGCGGCTGAGGGACAACGGCGCGCGGGGCCGAGGGTTGGGGGGGCGGGGGTTCTGCGGTTAGGGCACGTGTGGGGGGCTGTAGAGGGGGGGTGGGCGAGGTCAGGGGGTTTGGGGGGGCTGTGGCTCAGGGGTGTGTGGAGGGGGACTGAGGGTAGGGGGAGTGGGGGATTTGGGGGCGCTCGGGCGTGGGAGGGGAGCTGTGGGGATTTGGGGGGGACTGGGGCTCGGGGGCGTGTGGAGGGGAGCTGTGGGGATTTGGGGGGGACTGGGGCTCGGGGGCGTGTGGAGGGGAGCTGTGGGGATTTGGGGGGGGACTGGGGCTCGGGGGCGTGTGGAGGGGAGCTGTGGGGATTTGGGGGGGACTGGGGCTCGGGGGCGTGTGGAGGGGAGCTGTGGGGATTTGGGGGGGACTGGGGCTCGGGAGCGTGTGGAGGGGAGCTGTGGGGATTTGGGGGGGCTGGGGCTCGGGGGCGTGTGGGGGTTGGGGCTCGGGGTGTGGAGGGACTGAGGATGTGGGGGCTCAGGGTGTGGAGGGGGACTGAGGGTTGGGGGGCTGGGGCTTGGGTGTGTGGAGGGGGACTGAGGGCATGGGGGTTGTAGGGGTTTGGGGGGGCTGTGGTTTGAGGGTGTGGGGGCTGGGGCTTGGGTTGTATGGAGGGGGACTGAGGGTGTGGGGGCTGGGGCTCAGGGTGTGTGTGGAAGGATGCCCAGAGCTGGAAAGAGAGGGGTGGGGTGTGGCGCAGGCCACGCCCTGTCAGAAGGGGGTTGGGTATGGAGGCCTGCAGGGAATGGTGCATGGAGGGGGCGCTACTCACTGGATGTATCCCTGCAGCCCCAGCATGTTCAGACTCAGCTCTCTATCACCCTAGCTTGGTGGGGAGCTGTGCAGAGGAGCACAGTCTTGGTGCTATGAGAGACATAGAAGGGCGTTTTTCTGTGTTTCCCCTAGCCGGAGGGGGTGCATGTGTCTACACTGGGGCTGAGCTGCTACCTCAGCTTTAGATAGGCTGCCCCAGCCCATCCTCATGCTGCCCAAGGTGCCTCTTATTGTACCCTCTCATTTCTCTCTCATCCCTGCTGCCCCAGCTTTCTCCATGCCACCCCACACAGTGAGCCAAGGCGGGAGTACCTGCTAAACATGAAGGTATTATAGTTAAGAGATGTGGCTCCCACATACACCCACCTGGATGGGAGCTCTTGTCTGTGCAAGCTACAGAAGCTGCTAGTTCTGAAGGCAGCATTTCGTGACTGAAGTGTCAGAGACTGATTGTTTGTAAATCAAACAAATCCTAAAAGGGGCAGTGTTCTCTTTACATGGCTCTGGGTCACTGTGGAGACACTTCTGTAGTCTAGTCTTACAAATGAAGGATTGTCACAAGGAAGACCTTGCAGTCTTATATCAGAATGCTTTCTTGATTGTAGTATGTTCTGTTGTCAGATTAAGAGGTGGAGGAGGTCCTAGGGTACCAATAAGGTATTTCTTTACCTTTTGCCAGGCAAGATTTCTGAAATGAGGTGCCAAATATGTGTTGGCAAGGCTAACTGTCTGCGTCAAATATTGGCTCCACTGGTATTTAGCTCATGGTGAAACCCCACATTCTCTTGCCTCTGCGTATGAATGGATTTGTCACGGACGGGCCATTTTCACTGGGATCAGTGTGCAGGACTCAGCCTGGCACTTCATGCCTCAATCAGCTGGTGGGATTACAGTTTGCCCCTTGGTTAAGCACATTTTATCATTCATTGAGAATTGAAGCATCAGCAGACTCTTGTTTAGCTACTCCTCCCACTCTTCTTCCCCCCCCCCCCCCAATAAAAAGGTAGGAAGAAGCCCTATTGAGAGGGTTATAACAGCCCATGGACAAGTTTTAAAAGTGCAGCACCAACAAAAATGGCAGTCTAGTGGTGTTGCCATCTGTAGGCTGGCTGAAGGCTGTTTCAGCCTCAATTTTTGTAGCTTGCAGATCATTTTGTGTTGATCAAAGCAAAAGTGTGCTGGGCTCCAGGACAAGGATGGTCTGAATAACCACCACATAGTGACTTTTGGAGGTGCATTGATAATCTCTTAAATGAGTTGCTTAGCTCTCCGAACTGTTGCAGTTTTCCTCCAGTTGGGAAGGGAATAGTCTTTCATCAAAGCTAAGGGGGTTGTTTTTATTCCTGAGCTTCATAGGCTCTGGAATAATATGTATTTAACTAGATTGACCTGAAAAAGATCTGGGGGAAGGCCACATGTTTGAAGCATAAACTTAAAAGAAGCAAAACAAATTCATTGTTAATTGTCTTGATGTGGTCAGAATTATTTTTCCCTCTTTCTAGAGTTTATGTAATGATTGTATCCCAAGACTAAGAGCCTCTACTCCTGATTTTTTTTCTTGTTGTGTTTTATGACTTGATCTGACCTTGGAAAAGTCATTTTATTTACCTTTCTACGGCATAGTTTCCGTAATGACTGAAGTTATGTACATTGTTTTAAGAAGTTAATGTTTGTAAAGGATTTTAGGTTTATTGGATGAAGAAGGATACATAAATTGAATTTTATTTTAAAAGTGGCCAAATATCCCCTTCAGATTTTGTGAACAAAACTGTCTCTTAGTCTCGGACTTTGCGCAAAGTTTTGTCCTGCAATGAATTTTGATCACTAAGTTATAAGCCTTGTAAAGCAGAGTTGCTCATGGAAATAAAATATTTTACAACCTTAATTAGAGCTGTGCCATATACATATTTTTTAAAGGAGTGTAAATATATTTTCCTATTACCTAGCACTTTGACAAAAGCTATGATGAAAAATGCTTCATAAGGTAGGTATTTATTATTGGTTCCAGATGATAAAATCATATAAGTACAAACTTCCTTTCTGTACATTTGAATAAAGTTGTTTCATATCTTTAAAATCAACAAAAAAAATTAACTGCTATGTAAGTGTGATCACACACAAATTCAGTGAGAAACAAATGAAATTCCTTGAGGGTTTTGTTTTTTTTTTTCTTCCATCCTTCCTCTTATTACAAGGATTTCATACGTTTTGAAAAGCAGAGCACATAGTTTAATTTTTGACAGTTTCTCCCAGCACAGACCAAGGGCCCAAACCTGAAAGAAAGCACACTTTTACAATTTTTAATGCATTTCATATAACAGTAGTGGAAGATCTAGCTTTGTAAACAGAAGCTGAATTTTTATGTCATGCCTCAGTATGGTCACTGAAAGGTTTTTATTAGTTTTAAAACAGAAGAAGAAACCAAAGTAAAACCATTTAAAATAGTATGGCCTTGATTAGTTCACTTAAATAGTTAAGGCTCAATTGTGTTGACTTTTTAATAGTAAAACACTTCAACTGAAGCACAATTTAACCCTAATTGAACAGGAAATCATCAGGTCAGGAAACAACTTCCAGAGCAGTCCATGGAAAGAGGCTCTGACAATAAAGAGAAAAAATGAAATCCAAATCCATCAGAGTCAAGAAATGAGCAATCTCTGATTTAAAGTTTGAGTGTAAGTGTATATATACAGGAACGGCAGGAAGTATGGCCCTATGTCACGTCTATTCTTGATTCTGCCACAGGCTCTCTGTGTGCTCTTGGGAGAGTCAACTTCTGTGTGTCTCAGTTTTCCCCCTTTGTGAAATGGGGGAAATCTACATGAGAGGAGAGTAATGTATACAAGGCACTTTGAAAGATCCTTGGATGGAAGGCTGCTTATAAATGCCAGGTATTATTATTAAATGTAACATCATAAGTGGTATTTCTCTTTAATGGGAGGAGGTAGCTCAGTAACTGCTATTTGGAGTGTCGCTCGTTGATGGTGATCAGAAGTGTTTCCTGCGAAAATGGTGCACTACAAGGTAGGTACGTATTTGGCATGGCTAAGCTGTGCTACCGTTGCTACAATGCTATTTATGCTTGTGCTAACTCAGTGATACTCAGACTGAGGCTCATGAGCCACAAGTGACTCTTTAATGTGTCTCCTGTGGCTCTTTGCAGCACATGATATTAAAAAACACTGATTTAAGTGTTAACCAATCAGGATGATTTTACTATGTTGTTAACTAATTGTAGTTGCTGATAATACTTAATCATTTTGCTTTGAGAATTGTGTGTGTGTGTATATTAGTAAATGAAACAATGAATTCACACTATTGTGGCTCTTGGGTAATGTTGATTGCTAATTTGGCTCCTGAACCACTGAGGTCTGAGTATCACTGTCTTAGCTCATAGCATAGATGTGGACCAGATCATCATTTTCATCTTTGGCATTGTTTTTGGTAAAATGTGTGCATTTGAATATGTACATGCCTATATGCAGTGTAGTGCCTTATGGTGTTGGCCCTTGTGTTACCTATCAGCTTTGTGTTCTTGAGGAAACCAGGGCCCAACATTCAGCCTGTCTGACTCACGAAAGACTTCCTCCTCCCCCCCGCCTCTGCTTGAACCAAAGCCAATCAGAAGAAGGACAAAAAGCAATGAAAAGGCAGTGAAAGACATACCTAAACCCCTCTGGTCAAGGGTGACAGGATTAAGGAAACGTAGAGGTGATCCTGGCAATTACAGACTGGTAAGTCTACCATCAGTACCGGGCAAATTAGTTGAAACAATAGTAAAGAATAAAATTGTCAGACACATAGAAGAACATAAGTTGTTGGGCAAAAGTCAACATGGTTTCTGTAAAGGGAAATCATGTCTTACTAATCTATTAGTTCTTTGAAGAGGTCAGCAAACGTGGACAAGGGGGAATCCAGTGGACATAGTGTGCTTAGATTTCCAGAAAGCCTTTCACAAGGTCCCTCACCACAGGCTCTTATGTAAATTAAGTTGTCATGGAATAAGAGGGAAGAGCCTTTCATGGATTGAGAACTGGTTAAAAGAGAGGGAACAAAGGGTAGGAATAAGTGGTAAATTATCAGAATGGAGAGTTGTGTTCCCCAAGGTGGTCAGTCCTAGGACCAATCCTATTCAACTTATTCATAAATGATCTGGAGCAAGGGATAAACAGTGAGGTGGCAAAATTTGCAGACAATCCTAAACTGCTCAAGATCGATAAGACCAAAGGAGACTGTGAAGAACTTCAAAAAGATCTCACAAAACTAAGTGATTGGGCAACAAAATGGCAAATGAAATTTAATGTGGATAAATGTAAAGTAATGCACATTTGGAAAAAATAACCCCAAGTATACATACAATATGATGGGGGCTAATTTAGCTACGAATAATCAGGAGAAAGATCTTGGAGTCATCGTGGATAGTTCTCTGAAGATGACAACGAAGTGTGCAGCGGCAGTCAAAAAAGCAAACTATGTTAGGAATCATTAAAAAAGGGATAGAAAATAAGACAAGAGTATCTTATTGCCCTTATATAAATCCATGATACGCCCATATCTTGAATACTGCGTACAGATGTGGTCCCCTCATCTCAAAAAGGATATACTGGCATTAGAAAAGGCTCAGAAAAGGGCAACTAAAATGATTAGGGGTTTGGAACGGGTCCCATAGGAGGAGAGATTAGAGGCTAGGACTTTTCAGCTTGGAAAAGAGGAGACTAAGGGTGGGGGGATATGATAGAGGTATATAAAATCATGAGTGGTGTGGAGAAAGTGAATAAGGAAAAAGTTATTTACTTGTTCCCATAATATAAGAACTAGGGGCCGCCAAATGAACTTAATGGGTAGCAGGTTTAAAATAAAAGGAAGTTTTTCACACAGTGCACAGTCAACCTTTGGAACTCCTTGCCTGAGGAGGTTGTGAAGGCTAGGACTATAACAGGGTTTAAAAGAGAACTGGATACATTTATGGAGGTTAAGTCCATTAATGGCTATTAGCCAGGATGGGGTAAGGAATGGTGTCCCTAGCCTCTGTTTGTCACAGGATGGAGATGGATGGCAGGAGAGAGATTACCTGCTAGGTTCACTCCCTCTGGGGCACCTGGCATTGGCCACTGTTGGTAGACAGGATACTGGGTTGGATGGACCTTTGGTCTGACCCAGTATGGCCATTCTTATGTTCTTAGCCTCATTTGCATCAAAGATGGAACAGGGAGGCATCCCAATTAGCATACAGAATGGAGAACAGAGATTCCAAGGCAAGACCCACACTGAACTCTGGGACCAGGAAAGCACTGCATGATAGGGAATCTCTGCTCCAGATGGTAAAGAACCCATGCCTGCACACCCCCAGATCAGTTCTCAGACCAATTCTAGTAATATATCCTTTATTGGTATCCAAAATAGTGAAGCTGCTTAATTGCATTGTGAGCTCCCTTGTAGGAACACTGCCCATAGCCAGGAATGATCAGTTCCTATTGTCTAGCCTGAACAAAACAACTTTGGTATATTCCCTTGAGCCAAAAGTTTACCCATAAACAAATCTAGTGTTCTCCCTTGAACCATTGTTCTTTCCCTACAAAAATTTCTACCCATTCTCAAGTAAGTTCTCTGATGCCTGGATCCAAAATCTGCATCCGTTCCACTGGGACTTATCTTCTCCTGACTGATCGTGCTGGGGGCTCTGCCAGTCTCCAGCACTTGGGACACTCAGCTACCACCACCACCACCTCCTGGGACCCCCAGTGGATTCAAGCTTCACGGAGTGGTGAGAACCCAGCTCTCTCTCTCGGTATAGCCTTCTGACCCTGACTTGTGTGATCAGTTTTAGTTTTCTAAACCTGACTTTTATAATCAGATTTAAGTTAGATTTAATATTATAACTGTTTTGTTTGTTTGGCTCCTCATGTATAGTTATTACCTAGCAATAAATAACTTTCATGGTTAAGCTGGTTGCCCCCTCTCTATCTCTCTCTCTGCAGCAATGCTCCTCATACCTAAGCTAAAGATCCCTGCAGCTCCCACAAATCCTCTGGGGTTTGCTCATCAAGTGGGTTACTACCAGGACAATTGTAACGTGAAAGTGGGGATAGGGACATGCTGAACCTGGGGCATATGAAGGTGGCAGTTTGGAAGTGCTGCTTGACCCAGCCTGCTGAGTCCAGGGGCGTATAAGGGGTCAGCTTGGGAGTGCTGATTAACTTGGTCCTCTTGGATGCTCTCTGTCAATGTGTGTGTGTTTTCCCTGATTCTGGAGCTTGGAGAACCTAGGTCCTGCAGGATAGCTGCATTGGGAGGGAACTTGCAGCAGGGAGGAGTAGAGCTCCATATGAGAATACAAGTGACAAGCAGTATATTGATAGAATTACAGAAGTGCCCCCCCTCAGAAGAGTAACCATAATAAATGAAAAAAGAAAAGGAGTACTTGTGGCACCTTAGAGACTAACCAATTTATTTGAGCATGAGCTTTCGTGAGCTACAGCTCACTTCATCGGATGCATACCGTGGAAACTGCAGCAGACTTTATATATACACAGAGAATATGAAACAATACCTCCTCCCACCCCACTGTCCTGCTGGTAATAGCTTATCTAAAGTGATCATCAGGTTGGGCAATTTCCTGCACAAATCCAGGTTTTCTCACATCCCCCTCACCCCCATACACACACAGACTCACTCTCCTGCTGGTAATAGCTCATCCAAACTGACCACTCTCCAAGCTTAAATCCAAGTTAAACCAGAACATCGGGGGGGGGGGAGGAAAAAACAAGAGGAAATAGGCTACCTTGCATAATGACTTAGCCACTCCCAGTCTCTATTTAAGCCTAAATTAATAGTATCCAATTTGCAAATGAATTCCAATTCAGCAGTTTCTCGCTGGAGTCTGGATTTGAAGTTTTTTTGTTTTAAGATAGCGACCTTCATGTCTGTGATTGCGTGACCAGAGAGATTGAAGTGTTCTCCGACTGGTTTATGAATGTTATAATTCTTGACATCTGATTTGTGTCCATTTATTCTTTTACGTAGAGACTGTCCAGTTTGACCAATGTACATGGCAGAGGGGCATTGCTGGCACATGATGGCATATATCACATTGGTGGATGTGCAGGTGAATGAGCCTCTGATAGTGTGGCTGATGTTATTAGGCCCTGTGATGGTGTCCCCTGAATAGATATGTGGGCACAATTGGCAACGGGCTTTGTTGCAAGGATAAGTTCCTGGGTTAGTGGTTCTGTTGTGTGGTATATGGTATGTGGTAAGTCCAGTCTGCTTCTACATAGAGTGCTTCCGCTGACGTGCACGGGCTGAAATTGTGGAAAAGCAGCATCACTTGCCCCATAACCTCAGCCATGCGGAACGCAATGCCACCCACAGCCTCAGAAACAACTCTGACATCATAATCAAAAAGGCTGACAAAGGAGGTGCTGTTGTCATCATGAATAGGTTGGAATATGAACAAGAGGCTGCTCGGCAGCTCTCCAACACGAGTTTCTACAAGCCATTACCCTATGATCCCACTGAGAGTTACCAAAAGCAACTACAGCATTTGCTCAAGAAACTTCCTGAAAAAGCACAAGATCAAATCCGCACAGACACACCCCTGGAACCCGATCTGGGATATTCTATCTACTACCCAAGATCCATAAACCTGGAAATCCTGGGCGCCCTATCATCTCAGGCATTGGCACCCTGACAGCAGGATTGTCTGGCTATGTAGACTCCCTCCTCAGGCCCTATGCTACCAGCACTCCCAGCTACCTTCGAGACACCACTGACTTCCTGAGGAAACTTCAATCCATCGGTGATCTTCCTGATAACACCATCCTGGCCACTATGGATGTAGAAGCCCTCTATACCAACATTCCACACAAAGATGGACTACAAGCCGTCAAGAACACTATCCCCGATAATGTCACGGCTAACCTGGTGGCTGAACTTTGTGACTTTGTCCTTACCCATAACTATTTCACATTTGGGGACAGTGTATACCTTCAGATCAGCGGCACTGCTATGGGTACCCGCATGGCCCCACAGTATGCCAACATTTTTATGGCTGATTTAGAACAACGCTTCCTCAGCTCTCGTCCACTAAAGCCCCTACTCTACTTGCGCTATATTGATGACATCTTCATCATCTGGACCCATGGAAAAGAAGCCCTTGAAGAATTCCACCATGATTTCAACAATTTCCATCCCACCACCAACCTCAGCCTGGTCCAGTCCACACAAGAGATCCTCTTCCTGGACACTACAGTGCTAATAAACAATGGTCACATAAACACCACCCTATACCGGAAACCTACTGACCGCTATTCCTACCTGCATGCCTCCAGCTTTCACCCTGACCACACCACACGATCCATCGTCTACAGCCAAGCTCTGCGATACAACCGCATTTGCTCCAACCCCTCAGACAGAGACAAACACCTACAAGATCTCTGTCAAGCTTTCTTACAACTACAATACCCACCTGCAGAAGTAAAGAAACAGATTGATAGAGCCAGAATAGTTCCCAGAAGTTACCTACTACAGGACAGGCCTAACAAAGAAAATAACAGAACGCCACTAGCCGTCACCTTCAGCCCCCAACTAAAACCCCTCCAACGCATTATTAAGGATCTACAACCTATCCTAAAGGATGACCCAACACTCTCACAAATCTTGGGAGACAGGCCAGTCCTTGCCTACAGACAGCCCCGCAACCTGAAGCAAATACTCACCAACAACCACATACCACACAACAGAACCACTAACCCAGGAACTTATCCTTGCAACAAAGCCCGTTGCCAATTGTGCCCACATATCTATTCAGGGGACACCATCACAGGGCCTAATAACATCAGCCACACTATCAGAGGCTCGTTCACCTGCACATCCACCAATGTGATATATGCCATCATGTGCCAGCAATGCCCCTCTGCCATGTACATTGGTCAAACTGGACAGTCTCTACGTAAAAGAATAAATGGACACAAATCAGATGTCAAGAATTATAACATTCATAAACCAGTCGGAGAACACTTCAATCTCTCTGGTCACGCAATCACAGACATGAAGGTCGCTATCTTAAAACAAAAAAACTTCAAATCCAGACTCCAGCGAGAAACTGCTGAATTGGAATTCATTTGCAAATTGGATACTATTAATTTAGGCTTAAATAGAGACTGGGAGTGGCTAAGTCATTATGCAAGGTAGCCTATTTCCTCTTGTTTTTTCCTCCCCCCCCCCGATGTTCTGGTTTAACTTGGATTTAAGCTTGGAGAGTGGTCAGTTTGGATGAGCTATTACCAGCAGGAGAGTGAGTCTGTGTGTGTATGGGGGTGGGGGGGATGTGAGAAAACCTGGATTTGTGCAGGAAATGGCCCAACCTGATGATCACTTTAGATAAGCTATTACCAGCAGGACAGTGGGGTGTGAGGAGGTATTGTTTCATGGTCTCTGTGTGTATATAAAGTCTGCTGCAGTTTCCACGGTATGCATCGGATGAAGTGAGCTGTAGCTCACGAAAGCTCATGCTCAAATAAATTGGTTAGTCTCTAAGGTGCCACAAGTACTCCTTTTCTTTTTGCGAATACAGACTAACACGGCTGTTACTCTGAAACCTGTCATAATAAATGAGTGTACCCCAAAGTAATGGGCAAATCTGGTAACACTTGTGAGCATGCGTTTATAAGTGCAATGTATTATGATGGTGTTTGGGTACCTATGCCTCCACCTAATGAATGTTCAGCTGTGTGGGTTAACATTCATTTTTCTTTGGGACATGAGCACTGTGCTGGGCTCTGTGGAGTGTGAGTGCTTTCTTTATACCATGTCAAACCAGAAGTAAGGAATATACCTTGACTCCAGTGTTTGAATGCTGTTTGGCATGCCTTACATAATAGTATCTCGGCCTCTGGCCAAGAGAAAAGCCCTCTTTTCTGTTAACTATTTCTCATTCATGCTGGTCTGGACACACAGTATGTAGAAGGCATAAAACTATAGTGTAATTTTACGTACTAACTTCTCAGAATTTCATACTGCTCTCATTACTTGTCTAGTGCACAACTTATGCTACTTTTGGCCACGGTACATGGCGTGAGTGAATTGATTTCTGTGGCAAGAGACTAAGTGGTTTTAGCATACACTGGACCTTGTCTTTTCATTTGTACAATATCAAACATGAATGGGTGCTCAGGAAATATATAACTTCAGGACAACAAGGGAAAGAATCAATTAATACCACCCATTTTTTTCCAATCTGCCAAAGCAATTGACTAATATCTTATAAATCCTCATAACCTGTGTATCAGTTTTTAAGCTAAGCCTGAGGTTTCATTTTTATATATTTAAATATATGGCAGTCTTTCCTGCAGAAGCTGATTATTCTAAATACATTCTAGTATGTGTTGCATCTGCTAAGTAAAATCTGTAAGATATAGTGTGCTTTTTTTGTGTGCAAAATTCTAAGAGTATTCATTAGGTTTATACTTTGAAGTCCCTTTGGCAGTCAAGCCCATCTTAACTATCAGATGGCAAATATCCAGGCGACTTTGTTCTGAAGTGATCACAGATGAGTGTTTTTTCTGTAGCAGTGATCACGGATAATTCATGTAATGACTATAAACACATTTCCGTACTAAGATTAACAAATAATTAAATAGCTTCTTGGTTAGCCAATAGCAAGAGTCCTAGCTTTTACCACATAAAGCATATATTTTTGTAGCTAGCCTCTGATTATTCATACCATTGCTCTACCGGTAGTCCCTCTCTTATTAAGTTGTCACTCCCCAGGATCCACCTGTTTTTGTATAAAACATTAAAGATCGCAATGGTGAAATGGTAGGAAGTAGTTTAACTGCTATATTTAAATTCAGAGCAGCACCAGACCCTGCCAGAACAACAGATATCGAATCTGCAGACCTATTTCCACTGCTGTGATGATTAATACTCCCCCAAACATATCTTTTTCAAAGATCCATGGGTCTTACACATTCCTATGACAACATGTGGTATACCTCAGCCAGTGCATCAAGTGCCCCCAACAAAAACTGTGCCCTTGAATGAACTCATATAGAAAAATGATTAAATATTAAAACACCCTGTTCCCCCATGGATGAACACTTTTCACAAAACTAACTCCATATCTGACTTCTCAGTCCTTGTCCTGAAGCCTACACAACAGCTTCAAAAGGCGAGCTGGGAACTTAAATTCATAACTCTGCTGGACACTAAAAATCATGGACTTAGAGACACCACTTTTCATTACAATTTATAACACACTCTGCTGTCTACTAACCTTCCTTTGTCCTACTGCAAAAGTATTAAGTGCCCATTTCATTTTAAGTGGTATACCATGTGTCAACCCCTGCTTAACAATCTGTCCCACTTTGTATTTAGCTGACACTGAGGTTACCTTCTCCAGACTTGAGGAAGAGCTCTGTGAAGCTTGGAAGCTTGTCCCTGCCAGCAACAGAAGTTACTCAAAAAATATTACCTCGCCCACCTTGTGCGTGTCTCAGATTTATATATGTCGTAAGGTTAAAATATTTACGTAATTCCTTTTTTATTGGTAAGATTAGATGAGAAAAACTTAATAGTAATAGATTATTAGGGACTACTGCAATCTTCCAGTCTGATCTGCGCAACCCAAGCCATGAAACCTCTCTGGTAGTTTCTGCATCAAGACCATAACTTTCTTCCTCAAGCAGTGTCCCTAGGGACTCTCCACTTGAGGTGTGCATGCACCTCATGTACCTTCAATCAGAGATATTTCAGCAGGAGTGCTCATTTGGTCTGGGCATATGCCCTAGCCTTCTTGATGTTCCATACAGAGGATATATAAGGCTGTGATGGATATATAAGGCTGTGACAGATGGACTGCCCTAAATTCCTTCTCAACCACCTCTCCCTGAGACAGAGCATTTTGTAGTGCTTGCCTGCATAGCTATTCATCTTAGCTAGTCTTCAGTACTTAATTTTAAATTTATTTTACTTTTATCTTTTATAGTTTGTGTAGTAAGTGTTTACTTTAGTTTTTGAGGATCTATCTCCTTTTGGCTAAGGCTATGCCTCTCATGCACCCTCACCTCCATACAGAGGAGCTGTCTCTAGAGAAGCCTGCTTTTCCTTTGGGCATCTCTAAGTAACCAGGCTTCAAACACTGCCGCACTTGCTGGGAATCCTTTCCAGTTAGTGATGGCCACTAGCATTGTATCCACTGCCTCGGGGATATGCACATCCATTTGAAGTGCAAGACCTGTGCAAGCTTCAAGAGTCACTCCAGAAGGTACAGGGAGATAAAACTTCAGGTTTTTGTGATGGAGTGCTCACTTTGTCCAGCTTCAGATCCAGGCCCAGAGACCCACCTGGGACATCAGCCTCTGAATGACCATATCACTCTATCAGTGTGTGCAGCTCATTTGCCTTCTAGGTCTTTGAGAGACAGACTTTCAAGTGAAATGAGGAAAGTCTCATGCTGATCTTGTCAGAGACACCATATTCTTAAGAGGCCTGCTGTACTGGAGACCCCATGCCCCTTAAAGGTTTCTGCAGAGCCTTGGTATTGAGGTTTTCTCCAAGTGAAAGCCTTCATCAAAATCACACAGTGCTGAAGCCCTTGGTACCATTGAATCCTGAATGAGGTACTTCTGAAACACTTGGTACCACCCTCATCTGCTGCTGCCTCTTCAGTACTGAGACCATCAGTACGGCAAGAGGCAGATCATCCCTTGGTACCGCAGGCTTCAGTGTCTGATTCGTCAAATGCCTGTGCACATTCCCACAGGACCTATTTGTCTCCAATGAACCTGAGTCGTCTTTGCTGAGTTCAGGACTCCTAGTACCAAAACCTGAGTTATTGCCTGCCTCAGAAGTGATTTGGTCAGACATACAGCCAGATACTCCTCCTTTGGGTGCTCTGTTGGAACACAAAAAAGAAAGTTCTTCAGACTCCCTCTAAACTCAGCACAGGGCTATGCTGACTGAAAACCGACCTTTTGATTATGAAGTACCTGGAACATCAAAGGACACTTCCAGAGTTTTACTACCACTACCTGGCAATCATCCTCCCTGGCGTGACTAGTACTGGCTGCCTCCCCCATTCCTCTACAGTCCTCCCTCGTGGGCATACTCAGCTGCCTGCCGATGAGTTTTTTAGGGTATCGGCTACTCATGTGGACTGTACCAGACAGCCCACTCCAGTTCTCTCTGTCCCACCGTATCATTCTTCTCTACAGGAGGGGACATTTGAAAAACAAGAAAGGAGAGCTGATGAGGCTATATTAGTCTGTGGAGTTGTCCCCTCATCTTCCCCAGATGAGGCTGTCATGCCCCCACCAACTCATATGAACAACTTCAAGCCATTTCAGGAGGTGATGAAAAGAGTGGCAGATGCTCTCAAGATTCCATTAGAAGTAGTTCAGGAGACCAGCATAAATTGTCTGACACTGTACTTACACCATCGTCAGCATGGGTGATCTTGCTTATAAATGAGGTGCTCTTAGAACCTGCCAAAATGATCTGGCAGAGTTCTGCTACTGCTCCCCACTCCTGACAGCTAAAAGAGCAGATAAAATATATTATGTCCTACTAGGGGTTTGGAAGTTTTAGTTTTTTGTCCTGCCCCTAATTCCTTGGTCATGGATACCATGAATGTACATAGTAGGCAACAGCATTGAAAGGTATCCCCACATGATAAAGACCAGAACCACTTAAACCTTTGTCAAGATACAGAGATTCAAGATGGTGACACTTAGAGCTATCATTCCACTCTTGGATTTGGGGAGCTGCTTAGTGACCCTCAACCTTCGAGAGGCATACTTTCATATCAATATGCTCTTACACTTTGTGGTAGGTCAGGACCATGACCAATATCAAGTCCTTCCCTTCGGACTGTCTACCACCCTCAAAGTGTTCACAAAAGTTACTGTAATAAGCACTGCACAGCTTCACCATTGGTGGGTAATTGTCTTCCCTTATCTTAATGATTGGCTTCTCAGGGGCATTCCTATACCAAGGTCAGAAACAGAACTGCTATAACCTTGGCTGTAGCTCTATTTAACAGGCTTGGTCCTCAGCTCAACACCGGGAAGTCCCTGCCTCTTACCTGTGCAAAGGGTAGAGTTCGTAGGGCCCACTCTCAATGCCACATGATAGATCAGAGGACAGATTCTTCACTCCTCACACTTAATTGCACAAATTCAGTTGGGCCATCAGGTCATTGCCAGATTGTGTATGCAACTCCTTGGGCACAAAGCAGCATGTACTTTGTTGCACTACATAATTCTCTACATATGCGTTGCTTCCATACTTGGTTCTGGACAGTTTATACTCCCAGCAAGACAGTGTAAAGTTATTCTCTATTCCCTGTTGTGTACTGTTCTCTCTCTCAACTGGTGGCAGAATCCAGACAAGGTGTGTTCAGGGGTTCCATTCAACTCTTCCCCTCCCGCTGTTACAATAGTTTCCAACACTTCCCTCCTCAGTATACTTCTGAAGTTGAATTCCCTATCTATCAAAACAGGTGGACTTCATCTTATACAGCACCATTCTGGAAATCAGAGCTTTAACGTATGCCTGACGGCACTTTCTCCTGTGATACAAGACCAATCCAGATTTCCTTTTCTCTTTGCAGAGGCCATAAAGTTATGGAACTGGTGCATATTTTATCTATGCAGCCTCCAAAACACCGTGGCGGCTGACCTCCGAATACTCTTCACTTAAGATAATGAGTGGAAACTAAACAAATCAATACTCAGATGTTTCTTACCTGGGAATTTCTGAAGATAGATCTTTTTGCCGCTGCCAACTGTTAGGAGGGTGCTGGCATATTATTTGGACAGGGCCAGACCTTTTTCGAGCTTCTCTCAGACTGTTTGTATTGTGGACAGAGCTAAAGAAGTGCCAATGTCCATACAAAGACTATCCAGCTGGGTTTCCGTCTCTATCCTCTCTTGCTATACAGCCACTAACATACTATGCTGACCTAGGTTTATAGTTCTGGTACAGTTTTTACCAGATCTCAGTCCATGTCCACTTCTTTGCTGAAGGACATTCCTATTGTAGAGATTTGCAAGGGTGCTACATGAGCTTCGGTCCACACTTTCTCAAGACCATTATCCTGTAGTTGATGTTTCTCAGGCAGATGCTGCTTTTGGCTCTGCAGTTTAATAGTCAGCCCTAAATCAAGTTCCAAACTCCCACCTCCTTCAGGGGATACCACTTGGGAGTCACCTCAAGTGGAGCACCAATAGGGACACCACGCGAAGGAGAGGTTAGATCTTTGAGATGTGTTCCCCTACGGGTGTTCCACTATCCGCTCCCTTTCCCCTCTGCTTCAGAGCCTCATCTCCTTGTGGCTTTGCAGTGGAGAAAGAACTGAGTGTGGCCCATCCATCACAGTCTTATATATTCTCAGCATGGGTCATGAGAATGGCTGAGGGCGCATTCGTGGACCGAACGAGCATTGGTGATAAAAATGTCCAATTGAATGCACATGGGGCACATGCTCACCTCAAGTAGAACAACCGTAACAGGACACATCTCAAAGAACTTGTTATGGTATAATGTAAGTAACCTGTCCTCTGAACTATCGCATATCTTTTAGAAAGTTATTTGGGCTTGGTATAAAGATTTAAAGTGATGGAGACTGTGTGACTTTTTATAATCTAATTTTCACCATTTATTTGACATTTGATTCAGCCTGGGCAAAAGAAATAGATGGGTCAGTTTCATTCTTCAGAGTCCTCTGCCCAATGTTGTTGTGTGTGGGGTCCCAGAAGGGCACATGGGCACGGAAACCAGAGATGCGGGGGGTGCTGCAGTGGCCGCCAGCCTCGCTGGGCAGGGGTGGGGCGGGGGGAGTGGGCAGGGGTAAGGGGGCTGGCTTTCAGCACTCTCACTATTAAAAATGTTCCAGCCCCACTGGAAGGGCAGGGGGATGTTTACAGTTTAAAAGAATTACGAATCCATTTGTATTCCTGTTGTGCTGAGACCTTTTAGAAAGAAAATGTTTATTCTGTGTAAAAACGTGTAACAATTAAACACACAGCCAAACTGGGTTCGGTTAAACCAGTGTAAATCTTGAGTAACTCATTGATGCCAGTGTAACTGAGGGCAGAATTTGGTCTAGTATCTGTGTAAATAAAACTCCTCCCTCACATTGAGTAAAATCCTTACAGCTCAGCAGAGGAAATTGCTAAAAGCTGCTTGGAGAACTGCATTTCCTTCAAAACCAAAAGGCAGTAATGAATTGTGTATCTGACATAGGTAAAAGATTTGAGATTAAACATATATCAAATTGTGCCTCTCTAATCTACCAGAAGTCTATGAGTGTGTCCTCAACCGAGTGGAAAAAGGAAAACTGTGTGATTTCATTGGAATCTCAAAAAGCCTTTGATAAAGTTCTCAAAAGTTATTGCATAAACTCCCAAGTCATGAGATGGTAGAATAAAATAATGGTCTGAGAGAGACAAAAAATAGACCATTTTCAACATGACCAAAGATTAAGAAGGGGCTATACCAAGATTCCAAACCAAGAATTGATTATATATTTGTCATTAATCTGGGAAATGTGGTGAAACAGTAAGGTAATAATTTGACGATTATATCAAAGTAAGTTTCTAGAGGAAGACTGCTTTTTGTGAATTATTTAACTCTTACTAAAGAAGACTGAAGAACTTCAGAGAGACTTAAAAGCTTGGCAAATGAGTAACAAAATAGATAAAATTCACAGATCCTCTTTAAAGCCCAATCCCAGTTGTCTTGAAGTCAGTGGACAAAACTCATTTTCTGTGACCATTTGTCTTACTAAAGCTTGATCACTCAGATTCTTGCAGGAGGCCAAAACATAAGGGGCATAAGAATATGGTGTCTCATAGAAGATCTAGCATGAGAAGCAAAAGGAGCTTTAATAGTTAACTAACATTTAAAATCTGGATAATGTTTAGGAATATTTGCCCAGCTCCATTCATTTGAGAGAAGAACCACAACTTAATTTTCATAGTGATTAGTTCTTGATCTAGTAAAGCAGGTTCTTTAAAGGAGCAGAGTATAATCATTATTTTCCCTCAAAATAACAAGAAACACCGCTTTCTGTAGAGAGGCATTTACTGTGCTGCACTAGCTGCACTGTAAGTAGTGCAGATAAAAGTGAGGACAGTTCTTGGGCAGCGGACTATATGAGGAATGTGATTCACAGGATACAGCTAGCATTATAATTACTAGTGCAGCTGCTGAAGTGACTCCGGCCAGCAGTAAATAAAATCTGTGCTGTGTTCAATACTCTTTCGCTTATAGTATAAGCCATAAAGATGGGAGAAGAGATAGTGTAACATTTTGATCTAATTGTCAACCTCAGACATGGCTTAAGCAGACATGGCTACAGTTCCCTTTGCACCAGATGTGAATTTGGCACCAAAACCTTACTGGACTTTTTCAGATGTTTATACTGGAATAGGACTGTGATTAAAATCAAATCTTCTGAACTGCAGTATCACCAAGGCATCAGTCTGTCTCTCATTAATAATATATAACACTTTGTCTTCACAACTCACTCTTCCAACACACCAGTGAGATGTAAGTAAAATTCCATTTGTTTAATCATTTGTGGAAGTGACTAGCTCAAGGTCCTACAGTAGGTTAGTGTCAGAGACTGGGATTTAATTCAGGAATTCTTAGATTTTAAGGGCAGAAGGGATTTCTAATACCTAGCCTGAACACTTGCATAACACAGACAATAAATTCACCCATGCACTAGGGGGGGATTATTCTCCCCTGACAGCCAGTCTTGTGTACAGACCAGTAGAGAAGGACCCCACCCCTTCCATTTCATTCATTCCCTTCCAAGGATATCATGTTTCAGTTTTACTATTAATAACATTTTTACTCTTCCCAACTTTGGGTTTCTTCATGTCTTTGTTTTGATAGAAGGGAAGATATTACATTACAGCTGTTCTCTCTTCTCTCGTATGGATAAAAATGGGGAAATGAGGGTTTTTATATATCTGTTCTTGCTTAGTATGCTGAGCAAAGGCTTTGCGGGTTTTCTTTGAGAAAGAGCTGTTCTAAATGGAGGATCAGTTATAAACTATGTCTTTTATAGAATACATCATGAGCTAACTGAGCCTTAGACATGTACTGATTCTGCTCCCATTGAAGTCCATGGCAAAACTCTCATTGACTTCAGTCAGAGCAGGAGTGTGGGTCCTAGAGCAAAGATCCTAGAAATGCAGCTCCAATGTAGTGTGTCATGATTTTGCATAAGAAAATCTCTGAAATTCTTCGTGCTTCCATTATAAGAAGGGTGGTGATGAGCTATTATGCTAATCTGAAACTACGACATGTCAGAGTGTTGTTTGTCCTTACATTTGGATTCTGCCTTAATTGCACCAAGTTGTGTATCCTGCATCTCTTCTCTGTCACTGGTACAGTTGGAATCACATTCTTTGCACAGAATGACCAGCAAGGATCAACTGAAACATCAATTCTTCAAGTACTATCCATGTGGATCCCATTCATGGTGCATGGATAGGTCAGGAAACTTTAGTGTCTGTTGGGGCCCACATGCACCCTGTGTCCCCCCAACCCTTCCCCCGCCCCCTCTATCTGTGGGCATGAAAAGGAGAAGAATAGGGCTGGTCAAAATTTTCATGGTTTTTTTAATATGTAAAAGATTTTCAAAAAAGGCCAACGTTTCCACAAAATGCATATTTTCCAAAATTTATATTTTTTAAAAATAAAATTCCAAATGAGAGAGAGAATCTTTCATTTTTATTTTTTCCTTTTCCCTTCCACTTTTCAAGGAAGATAATTGGATGAGAGGGAGGTCAATAAAGTTTTTCAAAAAAAAAATCCAGTAAGTGAAAAATAATTCCATCTTGAAGCCTGCAGAGCAAAAATAATTTCCAACTCTTTTGTGAAACTCGTTTTCCAGCTATCTCTAACATGCAGACCCAAACACCTCTCTCTGCTTTCTGGCAGTGTGTCAGGATGCAATGGTGGTTCCTCTGAAATAGTGTTCTAAAAAACCCCAACGGTTAGATTTTAGTTCTAGGAGTTGTTAGTAGGGTTAGTGCAGTTGTCTAAATAGTTTCTACCCTGTTGGCCATTTTTTCTCTCTTGTCACCCAACCTTTTGCTTGATGCAAAGACTTTGGGGCTTAAACCTTGCCTCTGTGATGACAGCCTGATGTCCATCACTGATGACCTCACAAAGTGCAGCTTCTATTCTGGAAAAAGTCATGTCTCTAGAGATGTTTGCTGATTCTTTCCCAACAGGACCCGATTGAGCCAGGGACAACTGCTTGAAGCTCCATCTCTTGTAGCAATCACATTGTAAACAATTTTCACAAGACCTGTGAGTAGGGAAGTAATATTTCATCCATTTTATGGATAGGATATTGAGGGACAAGAGGTTGAATGACTTGACCAACATCATACAGAAGCCAGGGACACGGGGGAGTGGAGCCCAAGAATCTTAACTTCCTGCTCTGCTAGGTAGAATGTCTCCCTTGATATTATTGAATCTTGCAAATAAATTTGCATACTAGCTTATTTTACTTAATCATCCGTACACGCATTTCATATTTTGTGAACGTGGTTTTATTTCCATTGACTATATTACATGTCATCTCCCATTTGTATGCTCATTTATTAAGTAAATGCAGCCACTTTTTCAGGTGATTGGGAAGAAAACAACCAAAGAGAGGAGTGACTTGCATAGACAGACTGAAATCCTGACTAACTAGTGCTAAAACATGAAGATAGTTTCTAGCTGAAGCAAGGGAATCCATGGAAAAAAGTGCAAGCTGTAGCTGAGAGGCTGCTAAAAACAGACTGAAGAATGAAAAACATAATGAAGAGCTGAAAAAGAGGTGAAAAGATAGTACGTATTGAGAGATAAATACAGGGGAAGCCATTCATTCTAGTTAGAATCTGACAAGGCAGGATCCCAGCGTGTCTGCAACATTAATGTCCTAGTGGTGGAAGCAAAATATTATCTAGGGATAAATATAGTAGGCTGTTGCCAGAGAGGAATGAGCATATACCAGCATCCCAACCTGGTCTCACGGAAGTTAATGGGAGTTTTTCTGTTGGCTCCATCAGGAGCAGACATAGGTCCCAACTCTTTAGAAATCATGTAACTATAATTCAGATTCCACAGTAAAGGTAAAGAATGCTTGGTTAGATGTGTTTCCTGGTCAGTATAGGCCAGATCTATAGCAGTCAGATCTAGGTCACATCTTTGATTAAGCTGTATTACAATAAAAGTGTTTGAGGACCCTAACAGAGCTGGGTTCTTAGGTGCACTTCCCCCTCCACTCTGGGTAGGGAAGATCTAATGGGCAGCAAGATGGGGTTCTTACAAGGTGCCCACACCCTGCATACCATAAAGCTGTGTGTTTCACAAGTTTTCCATGTGTACTAGCGCAGAGAAAGCTTTAGGCAGGAGGGAAGGACTTAATTCTGAGCAGTCACAGGTGTTAACGGTAGTTTAAGACTGCAACAGTGACCATTGGGGAAAGGATTCTGATGTCTGTGGAACTCCCTATTTATTCAGGCTGTGTGTGAAGACCTTGATTTGTAACATATGCTCTATCTACATCGCTCTAGGGAAAAGTATCACAGAAATGTTTTGTTTACAAGGTCATAGCTGGGCAATTCTTTTATTTGGTCACATTTATAAAGCATGTATCCAGTGCGCTGGGTGTTGTACAAAAATGTTTAAAAACAACTGAAGTAACTTTGAGTGACCCAAACTGGAAAAAATCTGGGATGTATTTTTACTGTGTAGGAATATATTGAAGAGGAGGTGATTTACCTCCTTGGTTTTTTTTTCTAGGTAAATGTATTGCATTTTAAAGTTGTCTCGTAAATGTCACATTCCCACCCTCCCATGGCTTAAGTGGGAGTTAAGTGGTATGTAAGTCTTTTGCTAGACTTCAGCACAGGGGTGAATTTCCTAAGGCCATTGTAAGCTCAATTTTCTTATTCTTCTGTTTCCTTAGGACAAGTCTGCTGGGTTAGCAAGGTGGTAACAGCATGTACGCTACTAAATTTGATACAGAGCCAGTCTTTATTCTGGAGTGGTTGGTCTTGCAACATCCATACCCAAAAGATTCTCTTGGTAAGTAATTTCAGACAAAGGAATTTAATGTAGCGCTCAATTGTAGTACTGTTCTAGTCAAACGTAAAACTGTACTTGTGGCACCTTAGAGACTAACCAATTTATTTGAGCATAAGCTTTTGTGAATGCATCCGATGAAGTGAGCTGTAGCTCACAAAAGCTTATGCTCAAATAAATTGGTTAATCTCTAAGGTGCCACAAGTACTCCTTTTTCTTTTTACGAATACAGACTAACATGGCTGCTACTCTGAAAAAGGTAAAACTGTTATCTTCTTCAATGAGCGTGATTGGGCCCTTCAGCTGGACCAAAGTCATGTGTATATGTATAGGTGGTTTTGAGAAAAGCCAGTCTCTGACATATATCTGGGATACAAAGCCAAAATAAAATTTTCACAACAAAAATGTATTTATGTAATGGCCTTAAGAGAAGTCCCAAGAGGGTGTCTTGCAATTAAAAAGCAAAAGTGTCTTTAGTTTTAAAAATTAGGACGGACTTGGCTCCGGAATTCAACTGGAAGCTGATTCAACCATCATGCAGCAAATTATTGAAAGCTCTTGCTGCCATTATTTCAGTAGTGTGTTCAGTGCATCCCACATAATCAGCAGATTCAGATCTCAGTGAAGATGTAGGGACGTGATGAAAGAGGCAATATATTGCTAATATGGACGGCTTTGTAATGGAATAAGAAAACTTGCAAAAAAATCAATGAAAGACCTTTAAAACAGGGGCAATGCACTGAAACAACTTAGTAAGAGCTGCGGACAGTTCTATCCTGTTAGTACTGTAGCCTGTGAATAAAGATATGAAATAATCAAGCCTTGAAACAACAATAGTATTAACCAGCATTTGAGCCTGCTGAACAGGGGTATTCATCTGACAGTTTCAAAGATGCCAGTACGAAGCTCTTGTGACAGAGGCAAGACACTTACCAAAAATACACAAGGTCCATGTAGCACCCAGGCTTTCTACAAAGGATGTGGTAAAAGGGAATTATTGAAACTGTTGCCTGAGAAGGAGCAAATACCTAGGAGTGGCTGACAGTTTGTTTTGCCTTAATTCGGTATCCTAGTTTTGCGACATGCAAGACTGATCGTGAGGGAGGTTGGTCTGAACTGGGACAGCACTGTGGTAGATCTGTGTCAAACTGGGAGTCACTCCGAACAATGGAGATCCAGGTTCTACTGCTGAATGATGAACCTCAAAGGGAACATAAAGACACCAAAGAGTAAGTGTCTCAGAATGGATCATTGAGGCATGACAGCACACAGGCCAAATGGCTGGGATCCAAACTCTCCCATCAGCACCATCACAGATTGTTGTGACAGGTCAGAGTCAAGGAGTGGCCAGGCTGTGCCCAGCAGAACCTCACAATGGCTTGTTATCAAATTAAAAGAATTCCAAGATTGACATTGCCATGTGTTGTAGAAAGGTCCAAACAGACAGAGACCTTCACTCTATTTGTTAAATCATTATCCATGGCAGGTACAGTTCTGCTGTGGTCCAATCCCTGGAAAATGAAAAGAGGGAATATTATTATATCTTCTCCCTTTAGACCTCACAAAACCAGAACCCGGAATTGAATTTTGGATGTTAAATACAGAATTTTAAATATTCAAAATGGATTTTGTCACTTGCTAAGCCTAAAGAACATATAACCAAAAAAGAGAGACATATCAACAAGTTGGTCTGACTCTTTATATGTATTTCCTAACATAAATGTAGTACTTTACTTGGGATTTTCCCCCAACAAAATTCCTTTGCCCCCGTTTCAATTTAAATTGGTATTAGTGAAGGTCTGACTAATTTTTCTTCAAAGAAATGCTATGACAAAATTTAGGAAACTGACCAAGTCAAATCCCTTTTATAGACCATTCACAGCATGCGTTCACCTATGCAGCATGCAAATAAGACACCAGCATTTCACAATCACAATTTGAAATTCATTGCTTACTTAGCTACAAATTGGGCTTAATTAGGCATGCAAAACACATTGTGTCATTATTATGTGTGCAACAAAGTTTTGATAAGTTAGCCCTTTGTGTTTATGGTATCAGTTTCCGGATCAGACTTTTTAGATAACAGCTGTTCAGAATATCTGCATTTACTCAACATTTAGTTTGCATTCTGAGTGAAACTTAATACGCAAACTTTTACACTGCAATGTCTGTTTGGATCTAAGCTAGGGAAATGTTCAGAGACTCAAAAGTATTCTTGCTTCTTTTATGCTGCATTGCTCTGAATTTGAAAATTCTCAGAAGTTACAACATCCTACGTATATTTAAAAGCCAAACAGTAAAAAGGGAATTGAATGAAACACATTCCCCATCCTTTCCTCTGTAGTCTATGAATATCACATTAGACATTCTGGAAATAAGCTGTAATAATATTTTGATCTGATGTCTTCATTACAGACAATTTTCCTGTTTTTACTGAAATATTTAAAATATCTTCTCTCCCAGTTCTTGTTATACATATTTGGCTTCTTTATACCTTAATTATGGGACTGAAGGTCTAAAACTAAAAGAATGGAAATATGTAAAGAATGGATGTTCATAATTTATTAAAATACAGTCTTAAAAGTTCTTCTGGTAGTTTGTTTAGTTCTAGAAATCATGCAAAGTTAGGGGAAATAACCAGAGCTGCAGTTTCAAACACTACTTCTGAAATTGCCCTGAGAAATGTTGCATGAATACTCATTTGTATTTATTATGAGGTAGTTGCGCTTGCAAATCAGGTAAATGCATGTCTAACTGGTTAATTTGTATGAAAATAGACGTGAAAAATTTCTGTGGGCATTTTTGGGGGACCAGTCTAAGTGGGCTGCTCAAACTGCACCAAAAATACTGTTTACATAGGGAAATGGATGTTCATGTGAGAAAATAAATAGATTCACAGGATCTAAAATATAAGAAGCCTAGGGTAGCATGAAAAAATGTGCAAAATTGCATGCCAAATTTATATACACAGTTACCATGGTTATGCCTGCAAATAGGGTATTTGTGTGTGTAAATTATCTTTAATTGTCTTATTATGTGTTTGCATGTGCACATATCTGATTTGTGCGCATGATCATGGTAACTGAATGTAAAAATTGTGTCAAACTATATATTCATTTTTATTAGTCGGCCTGGGCTTTTGAACTTTCAAAAATCAACCTCATATTGGCTGCTTTGTATGTAAAAAGGCTAGCTGAGATGTATAAATGCAAGTTGCTCAATGGAGAAACAGATGCACCTGCAAATTTTCAAAGCACTTCAGTGGAAACCTACTGAAAATGAAGGCCCTGATATATGAGCAGCTTTGAAACATATCAACTGTTCTGATTGCAGAAAATGAACCAACACTGGTGGCTTTTTAAAGATATGGCTGGTGCTGCTGAATTTCACTGTCAGAGACATATCTGCCAAATTTGGGAAGTGATGACTATGAAGATTCAAAACATATGTGAAGCATCATCAACCAATATCAGGTTTTTAACAATTTCCTTGCAAAATATTATTTAGAATGGGAACGGCCAGTATTATGGCTATGATATTCCAAACATTGCTAGCAAGTTATTTTGCCTGACATATGTGTTTCAGCCATGCAACGTTGTGACAAAGGAACTTACAGGCAGAAAATGAGCGCTGAAGACAAGCAGCCTATCTGAGCATGAGAAATTGAACAGTTGTGCAGCCTGCCATCCACAGTCTATATTCCTGTTTTTGGGGGTAAGGGTTAGTGGCAAAGTTGTTTTGCAAAGGTTTCTAGATAGCCTGGTGATAATGACAATTTTACATACCTGGAATGTTGTATTTTACTCAGAATTGATAGTAATGTCATTATACAGGCAATCTGACTGTCATATTCTCTCAGCTCTTAATTGTCTGGAAGTCATACTCAATGAATTGGGGTGCTTTGTAAACCAATAACAACGTAAATTATAGTCAGCAGCAAGAATTTTGTGGTGGAAGGGAATCCTCTCCAGTTGCTGCATGTCCAAGTCTGTATCAATGATCCTCCTCCATGTTGCCCGAAGGCCAGCTTTTCAAAGGTATGTAGATGCCTGAAGATGCAGATAGGCACCTAAGGGGATTGTCAAAGCACCTAAACAGGTTAGATGCCTAAGTCTCATTTAAATTAATGCGGGTCAGGCACTTAACTTTTTTGATATTCCCACTAGACGCCTATCTGCACCTTTAATACCTTTGAAAATCTGGCCCTCTGTGTTTAAAATAGAATCATTCATTTTTTCGTCCCCACCTTTAAATGTATAATAATCCTGGCAGAGTAAACAGACTGTGTTTAGGGGTGCTCCAAAAGTGTTTGGAGACGGAACACTCCCTTACAGGCGATGCAGTGCCATCTGCTACAGCCTATAGGCTATGGTGGTTTCCATGGCTGATACTCCATGGGGAGGGTCTTACTAGTTCTGTGTTCAGGGCATTCGGCACGTATGATTGGGTGTGGGAGATGCCATCGTTTGCCCCCGAGTCACTATAGAACTCCAGATTTCTCAATAACTAAGTAGCAGTTTATTTGGGTTGGACTCGGATTGATGTTGGTTGTACTACCACCTGATTTAAGTTATTTCATGCTTGTTAGCGCCATAGCAACATTTGGCTTTTGATATTGTCCCAGCAATTTATTGCTGGATTTCTACAGTCATTTAGGGTTGCCTATATTTTTTAATATCAGTTGTTAATATTGATGTTTATTTTTAAGCATTTTTTTTATTTTTATCTATTTTAAATGTTCACGGTTATGCAAAATTTTGGGTTTTAAGCATTTTCTATTTTAAATGTTACAGGTATGGGAAATTGGGCATGGGCAGGGAGTAGACAATAAGGACAGTAGACTTTGAGATTCAAAAAGTTGAAGCTTTATAACTGTTAAAACACATCACAGGTCAAAATATACAAAGTAAATATCCTTAAATTAAACTCCAAAAAATTTCTCAAACATTTTTCTTACTCTGCCTATCTGTACATTTTGAGTAGTTATCAGTGGTTCACAGTCATGCTGGAAGGACATAACGAGTGGGGTTCTGCAGGGATCAGTTCTGGGTCCGGTTCTGTTCTTTCTGCTGCCGCTTCTCAGCGGCATTTCGGCAGCGGGGTGTTCGGCACCTGCCACAGTCTTTTGGGAATAGGAATGTGCTATTCCCACAGAAAGGTTGGGGACCACTGATTTAGATCATGGCATACAGAGTACACTTATAAAGTTTGCAGATGGTACTGTGGAAGTATAACATTGTATAAGGGGACATGCTGGATACATTGTATATGAGAGGGCATGCCAAACATGTTACAAAGTATCTGAGGGAGCACACATAGGGACAGTTAGCTTTTGAATGGAGAAGCAATTAAGATAGAGCCAGCATGTCTAAGAAGCAGGCATCAGAATGGAAGGTGTGAAGGGCAATTAGTTAAGTTAACTGGAAGCTGTTAAAGGAGATTGTTAAGGGTGGCAGGTAATTGAAGATACGTGACTGGTCTCAGGGATCTCGAAAGGTGGTGACTAAAATCTTTTTCTTCTTTTGTCTGTAACTTCTCTGTAACTTGTTCTCCAAAAAACTGTATAAATTAAAAGACACAAGCCCCACTCGGGGGGCTCACTTCTAAATGTATTAGCAGAGCAGCTTTGCTAATAAAACAGAGTGGTCTGATAAATTGTGAGTCTGAGTCAAACTTTGACAATTTGGAGGTTCCACTGAGATGGCAAGCGGCTTCACTGAGGCTGTGTGATCCCTGACTGCCTTGCAGGACGATCGTGGCAGCCGGCGCCTGGACGCTTAGTCCAAGCGATCCTCCACAAGACAGAAAGGTACACAGCAGCAGCGCAGTCTACGCCATTGAACTTGTTGGTTCCCACTCTGTTCGGGTAGGGGTCTTTGGATCCAGCTTCTGGAATGAGACGTCTCAGGTAATTATTATTTTTGTGCTTTAACCGGTTTGAGGACTGTCTTGTCTTTGTGTCTATCCGTCTTCCTTGTGGTGTGTGTGTGAATCTGGGAGCCATCTCTGTCCGGAGACTGGCTGACCAAGGGATCCCCATCCCCACGGTCTGAATAAGTGGAATCTGCACAGCTGCAGCCGCACCACGCCTTGGGTATAACCCCTGGTGTGAAAGCAAGGGCAGTTGAGGCAGTAGGTGTTGCACCGGGTACCGCTCTGCTGAGCCCGAATTTCCTTCTTGTGTGAGTGCTGTGTGAAGTCCTCCTAGATGGGTAATCAGAAGTCTAAGGTAGAACAGTTCCCTAAGGGAACTCCAGCTTATTTTATGTATTTTAGGAGGGGTCCGGACTCTTGTAGGTTTCTTGAAAAATGGTCCAAATTAGCTCTAGAGAACCCCAAATTACAGTGGCCACTGTTAGGTTCTTGGGACAAGGATTGAGTGGACGCTTTAAAAAGCAAACTCGTCCTCCCAAAAACCAAATTGGAGAGAGGAGAAGTAGACTGCTTCATGCAGTGGTGGGAAGAGGCAAACCCCTCAGTCTTCCTTATGTGATTCTGTAGCCTCCCTACTGTCTGAAACTTCCCTCTCCGCTCTGGTCCCTTGCTGTCCCTTAACTCCGTCCCTAGAGCACCTAATCTCTCAGGTTCCTTCCTCCCTATGGCCATCTCACCCATCTGAAGTGGGCTGATTAAATACTGACCCAGTTCGGATTACTGTAGACAATTCCAAATCTCTGCCTCGCCTGTCTCAGTATCCTTTGAATCCTGAGGCAGAGGCTGGGATTGCTCCAGTTATATCTGCATTAAAAGAACACGGAATTATTGTCCCTTGTTCCAGCCCCTGTAACACTCCTATCCTCCCAGTTCAAAAGGCTGATGGCAAATCGTGGCGATTTGTTCAAGACCTTCGAGCTATTAACCATATTGTCATACTTTCTTTTCCAGTGGTTCCTAACCCTGCTACAATACTAGCGTCTATTCCTCCAAATGCAACCCACTTTACTGTTGTAGATTTGTGCTCCGCTTTCTTCTCTGTCCCAGTTCACTCTGAATCCCAGTATCTCTTTGCCTTCTCCTACAAGGGTCAGCAATATACATGGACTACCCTTCCCCAGGGGTATACAGAGAGTCCATCCTATTTTTCTCAAGCCCTAGCCAGGGATCTCGCTGATCTGGTTTTCCCATCAGGATCCACACTGATCCAATATGTGGACGACTTACTCCTGTGCGCCCCCTCTCTGTCTGCTTCAGAAACTGATTCACTAACACTTCTCACAGCTTTAGCAAACAAGGGTCATAAGGCTTCTCGCACAAAATTGCAGCTCTGCCAAACCTCTGTCACATACCTAGGCTTCCTTCTCTCCCAGGGCTCCCGTACACTCTATCCAGCCCGGGTACAAGCCATCCTTAGCTTTCCCCAGCCTTGCTCTCCACGCCAGGTCAGAAAATTCTTAGGCATGACAGGGTTCTGTAGGCAATGGATTCCCCAATATGCTTCTCTGGCTAAACCACTCCAAGAACTCACTCGATCCTCTGTACCTAACCCCATGCCATAGCCACTTGAAGCAAATGCTGCTTTCATCTCCCTTAAGCAGAATTTAGCCTCTGCCCCTGCCTTACGGTTACCTAACTATGACAAGCCTTTTACCCTTTTCTGTCACGAACAATCTGCTTGTGCCCTCGGGGTTCTTACTCAGGAGCACGGTGACAGAAATCGCCTGGTGGCTTATTTTTCTGCAACCTTGGACCCTGTAGCCCAGGGTTTACCCCCTTGCCTACGTGCTGTAGCTGCTGCAGTGCGCCTGGTCGAGATGTCTGAGTCCCTTGTCCTCCGCTCTCCTCTCACTCTCCTGGTTCCCCATTCTGTGGAAACTCTCCTTCTGCAACGCAACACTGCTCACCTCTCCTCTGCTCGCCTGACTAGGTATGAACTTTTGCTGCTTTCAGCCTCACATATCACTGTTAAGCACTGCTCCCGGTTAAACCCTGCTACCCTCCTTCCTTTACCTAGTGATGGTGAACCCCATGACTGCCTTGCAACTGTCTCCGCTATCACTGTCCCGTGCCCCGACCTTTCAGATGTACCTCTCCCTAAGTCTGACCTGGTATTATTCACTGGTGGGTCCTGTTATAGAAATGACCAAGGCCACCTTCTTGCAGGGTACGCTGTGGTCTCTCTCTCTGAGACCATAGAAGCTGCGCCCTTACCCTCTGTGACCTCTGCCCAGGTGGCTGAACTGATTGCTCTAACCCGTGCCTGCTTTCTAGCCGAGGGGCTCTCTGCCACTATTTTTACTGATTCTCGGTATGCCTTTGGGGTTGTGCATGACTTTGGCACCCTCTGGCAGGCTCGAGGTTTTCTTACCTCTACTGGTACCCCTATCAAGAATGGCCCCTACATTGCCGCCCTCCTGTATGCAGTTTTACTACCGTCTGCCTTGGCGATTGTTAAGTGTACTGGCCACTCAGCGGCAGACACCGAGGTGGCAAAAGGTAATGCACTTGCTGATGCTGCTGCAAAACATGCCGCCACTATAAAATCTTCACCAGAAGCGTTTCTTGGTCCCCTCTCTGTCTCTGTAACGCATCGCTGTCTCATCTCGCTCAGCTCCAGGATTCTGCCCCAGAAACAGAGAAAGACTCCTGGAGTGCTTTGGGTTGCTCTTTGCATTCTGATTCCCTTTGGCGATCACCCACCGGTACCTTTGTAGCCCCCCCTCTCACTCTACCCGTCTCTAGCCGCCCTGCTACATGGTGTTTTGCATGTCGGCAAGGAGGGGATGGTCTCCGCTATGAGTAAGGCGGGGTAGTGGGCTCCCCATTTCAGCTCCTTTGCAACCCGCCACTGTGCCGCTTGTGTTACTTGTCAAAGCCACAATGTAGGCAAATCTGTAAAAGTAACACAAGGGTTCCGGGGTTTGCCTCAAGCACCTTTCCTACACTGGCAACTTGATTTTGTAAAAATGCCAAAGTGTCAGAAATATAATTCATTTTAGTTATACTATGTCTGTTTTCGGGTTGGATTGAAGCCTTTCCCTGTCGCAAAGCTGATTCATTGTCCGTTGCAAAATGTCTGTTAAACCACATTATCCCTACCAAGGGAATTCCTGCCACTTTGTCTAGTGACTGGGGAACACATTTTACTGGAAAAATTGTTCAACATCTAAACCAGGTATTACATGTCACCCACCTGTTGCACTGCCCTTACCATCCACAGAGTGCAGGGGCAGTTGAAAGGCGAAATGGTGTGCTTAAAAATAAGCTGGCAAAAATCTGTAGTTCCACAGGGTTAAACTGGCCAGCTGCTTTACCACTGGCCCTTATGGAAATTCGGTCATCCCCATCCCAGAGACACAAATTGAGTCCACTTGAAATCATCATGGGACGCCCTATGCGAACAATGGCTACTATTACCCCAGCCCCAGACCTAAACCTAACTCACAGCACGCTCCTCCAGTACTGCAAAGGGTTAATGCAAGCTGTGAGCTCCTTCCATTCGCAGGTGCGAGCAGCTTGGCCGATGGAACCCACCTCTGCTGCCTGTCACACTCTTGAGCCTGGTGATTGGGTCTACCTGCGGCACCACCTTCGGAAGCACGCCTTGGAACACCGGTGGAAGAGTCCATACCAGGTACTGCTCACCACCCAGACAGCAGTGAAATTATCCGGCATCGCTGCATGGATCCACGCCTCACAGTGTAAGCCAGCGCCACCTCAAGGGGGCCAAGCACCTCTGCAAGACCACGCCGAACCAGCTTCAACCCCAGAA